AGTAAAGGTTTCATGACTTTTCCGAGGTGCTTCCACATGAATGGGTTACAAGTGCGGATTTTTGTCAATTAATGTAAAATGAAAAAAACTACAAATATTTTTTTTAAATAATGTCGAACTGATTTGAATAGGACATTGTTTTTTCCTTTGCTGTACTGCAGCTGCAACAATGGTCTCAAAAACACACAAACACTCCAAATCGCGACAAGGTAAGTCAAAAATATGATCGTTGCCTAAAATTATAAGACAAATCAGAATCCCGATCTTGCCGCACCAAGCCAGAGTTGGCTGAGTTCTTCGAATCGGTGGACGAACGGATGAAAAGGTGAGAAAACACGTGCCTTTTAAACTTATATTTTTGTGGGTTAGTACATATAGATGAAGATTGTTTTAATCAAAATAAAAGTTTAAGAAAGCTTTTGCTTGTGATACTAACGGTGTTCTAAAGCTTATATTCTACTTTAAACGCAGAACATATTCTGAGTGAACGGCGTTTTCGAAGAACTCATTTTAGAAAACTATTCTTGTGTTTATTCTTAGTGCGGTGTATCTAAATTGACTTTTTCTTCTTTCACTATACTTACACTTTTGGGAAATTTTAGTCGACTGCTGTGCAATAAGACCTCTTTTAAACGAAAAAATTAAGAAAAACTGGGTGACTCAAACAGATTTTATTTGTGCTGTCATATTTCTCAAACCCTGTTAATGAAATTTTATGAACGCTTTTCAATATGATGCACAATTAGGCAAATGCCTAACGAAATGTCAGCTATACCTCTGTGGCAACGTAGTTTCTTATCAATTATTTTGACTTAATTTCAACGGTTACCTAAAACATTGATAAATACCATGACCTGTAATTATTTAAATAAAAATAAGGTGTTTAACTTAATATTTTAAATCTTTATCAGTTTGGCCATCGCTCGAAAGCCCTACAAAGCTCGAAATAATAAGGAAATATCCGTCAAACCTGGAGATGTCTTTGAGGTTAGTTCGAAACCTTGTTTATCCCGTGTTCTAGCAAAACATTCATTTAAAAGCAGGCACAGTAGTCTTTTTACCATTATTTCTGTTGCCAAATGTTAACTTACCAGCATTTAATTATGCTGCCAAGTTAAACGTATTGGGGCTACTAATGATAAGGTCTTGTTAAGAAATCAGTTACAAGATTTGGTTGAAGTTTACAAGATTTCCCTCAGGTTCTTGACGATGATGGCGCTTGGTGGTGTCTGCGTGCTCCCTCGGGCAAAGCCGGACACGTTCCAAAATCTCATTTGGAAGCCATTACCAATCCAATGACCCCATATGGACGTAGCTACGATTCCTCACCTGACCCAATAATTGTAAAAGTGCCAGTTATTGTCAAGACATCAGTTCAACGAGAGTCGGGTGAGGAAATTATTCGACCACGGACGCCATCGGCTAGACGTGAACAGAACCTCCAGGTTACAAGATCGTCTTCACCATTTCAAATTCCAGCCCCGCCGCCAGCCATGAACAGGCCACTTTCACAGCTCCCACCTAAAATGTCCCCCAGCCGCCGGGATCGATCACCTGCAACACGAACTTACGTTAAGGAGCTAGTTCGTCGGTCACCGGAGTCATCCCGGAAGCATCATAATACCCGATCAAGCAGCAATCGGCCGCACAGGTTCTCTCGCAGTAGCAGCAGCAGCAGTAGTAGCAGTAGCAGCAGCAGCAGCCTCTCAAGCTCTGACGACAGTTCAAATTATGAGAACCAGCCCAGGAAATCGTATGGCTCGCGTGTCATCCACAAATCGAGGGCCCATATTCACCGTTCACCGTCTGGGTGTAATGGTCACATGAGGTCCCACTGCCGCGAAGGGGCGCCCTGCTCTGTCCACTGTGTCCGGCATTCATGTCCAGTCCACTGCATGAAGGATAAGAGGTCAAGCCAGAGTCCGCCGCACTCGCCTGCTAGGAGTGACTCGTCACAGGATAAACCACCGCAGCAGGTCTTCATCATCCTTGAACCACCGAAGCAAGAACAGTCGCCGGCCGAAGTGGAACAGGCGGCGGTATCGGCATCGGCGGTGACGGCGCCTGAAGAGTACCAGCAAGACGGCACTGCCGCTGCGCCTATCCAGATTCTTGTCACGCCAGGTGGTCAATTCACCTCCTCGATGACTGTGGCGCCTCAGTTTCCTCAGTACGGCCAAGCAGTCCAGCAAACATCAATGCAAATGGGCGGTCTGGGGAACATGCCATGGTTCAATCAACCTTACTACCCGACCTATGCATGAGGACGGCGTGTGGACACCAGTTGGGTGGATTTTCGCGGCGACCAGGCAGAGCGAATGGAGTGGGCAGAGGTAGAGCTGTACCCCGAACTAGCCTTGTTTCTTCACTCCGAAACTCCGATGTTCATCTGCCCTTACCAGATTAACGAGTCTGCATATTTGTCTGCTCCCGAATGTGTACTCACCTCCTCTGAATTGCTTGCATCCAGTCTTATTCAAAGTACTTTCTTTAACCTTTTTCTCATAATCTTCATCATCTACTGTTTTCATAACAGAGCAACTGAACACCCACCCACATTATTTGACAACCACCTGCTCTTAAGCATGATAAATCTAGTTGTTTTAACTTATCGACTTCGTTGAGTTAAGGATTTCATAAACGCTGCCCCTTCCTTTCGGTGCAGCTTCACAAATATTAGCGAGAACATCGATAATTTTTTTGTCGATAGAACAATTCAGTTGTTGAAAGGGTTTCAGTAACAACGCATGACTGGCGATATTGTGAGAATCAGCGTCAGCTTGAGTACAGAAGAAGGTGTTGATTTCATCCTGATGGGGAAGAATTTTTTACACTTCATTGCGTTGCCCAGGTCCGATTCTGTCATGTCTTTCAGAAGCTAGCGAAACAAACACGATAAATGAACCACTCGTAACAATATATTTTGGTGGACTGGTACTCGCTGATCGCTTGCGGCACACCCTATCGAATCCAGCCAGCGGCCACACAGTGGCTAATAATTTAGGCAGCATAAAATAATCCACATAGACAAAGGAAACCGGAATGGCCATTTCAGGCATATTAGCCGTCATCAGCCAGTCATAGCCTACGTGGTACAGCACCCGAGCCTTGAGCCGCTGATTATAAGTCCAACGCTCGTAGAAAAATAGGGCTTCAGTCGCAGCGCATACGACTTCTCCCATCAGCCCTTTAGAAATGAAGATGCTGCAAGTTTTAGTTCTGTCTCACCGTGTCATGGGGTGGGTTTTCATGTCGGTGAGGCTCTACGTACCAGGATAAAACAACGTTATCTGAGGAGCTTTCTCATTTCATTATATCACATCGGAATGCCTATTATTCAGTTAATCAATATGTCTATTTGTTGCGGAAAGGAGTTTATGGGGCATGCTCATGTCGTTGCAACCTAGGGCTTTGTCTAGAACCTTATTGGGCCGCCTTCAGTTAAGAGACTAAGAGCTAGCTCCATCTCATGCTCTTACTTTCCCATAGGTGCCTTTGATGAGTAATCGAAATTCATAAAGTGCTCACTGCGTCAAGTCTAGCACACATATGAAGATTCGCACAATAGAATTTATCGCTTAATCAGCTGTGTGCAGGTTATTTAAATAAAAGGAGCTCTGTGTGAGTCCAAAAAAGTACTAAATCGTGTTGATCATAAGGAATCATGACAATCTGCTGCCAATTATGTGAGTCACTGGCGTTTTCATTGGTCTTTAGCTGTGCAAAATCAAACTTTCTGGATGTAAGCCAGGTCGACGCGCCTACTCTCAACCAAACACACCAAAACAACTCCACCCAAAAAGGGTTTTGAACTTTTACTCCGCTTACGGCCTACCATGGCAGGTATCACCTGTTCTAACAGGCCACAGACGTGTACCGCAATACTATTGTTACTGGAAGTTTTCCATACTTGTGCCAATTTATAACATCAGGTACTGTCCAAGCTAAGCCCACGCGGTAAGAATGCGGGCAGTAAACCAGATTCTTAGAATCTAGATCAGTTGCTCCCGAGGAGGCCGCGAAGATTAAATTA